AAAATACAGTGTTCTCAGATGCAAACCCCATGTATACAGAGTGCCAACTTTTTGTATACGTGGGTTCCATGGGATTTGAGTATGTGTGAATTTTGGTATATTTGGGGGGTCCTGGAACCAATCCCCCACATACACTGAGAGATGACTGTATATTTTGCCACAATAAAAAAATACATAGCATACTAAAACTATCTCATGGATTTTGTGAGAATCAAATGAGATCTATGTAGAAAAGCCTTGTAATCTATACAGCTCTTCACAAATGTTAGCTCTTCTTAGTCATTATCACCCCAATTTCCCCCAACCTGATACCATTACCCACATGCTCTACCTAACCATGCTTACACAGCAGCACCCACTTTAAGTGCTATATGGTGATAGCTACCTTCATCTTGTTAAACCCTAGATGCTATGTGATATGGTCTGGATATTTGTCCCCTCCAAATACCATGTTGAAATTTGATCCCCAATGTTAGAGGTAGGGCCGAGTGGGAGGTGTTTGGGTCATGGGGGCAGATCCCTCATGAATGGCTTGGTGCCCTCTTGCAATAATGAGTGAGTTCTCACTTTATTAATTCATACAAGAGCTGGCTGTTTATAGGAGCCTGGCACCACCTCCTCCCTCTATTGTTCCTGCTCCTGTCATGTAACATGCCTGCTTCCCCTTTGCCTTCTGCCTTGATAGGAAGCTACCTGAAGCCCTCACCAGAAGCAGATATTAGTGCCATGCTTATACAGCCTGCAGAACCATGTCCCAAATAAACCTCTTTTCTTTGTAAATTACCAAGCCTCAGGTATTTCCTTAATAGCAATGCAAAATAGACTAACACACCATGTGCTAGGCAACAATATCCCTGAGTTCTGATTCTGAAACAGAACAAGCCCACAAAGAGACATAAGTTTTAGACCAGCCTAGTGGATTCCAGGTTTAAAAAAAAACCAAAGACTTCCTCCTTTTACCCAGTTTTTCCTAGTCCTTGGCTTGGAAGCAGTCCTCATTTGTAACAAGAGGTCACCATGACTTTGCCAAGGATAGAGCAAATCTTCCTCAAATCCTCTTGAACTCCCTGGCCTTCTACCAAGCAACATATCTCATAACGCAGACTTTGAGCAGGTGAACAACCCTGAACCTTCTTTGAAGGAATAGGATTCTGGGAAAAGAATACAAAAAATATACACAGTGTGCACTGAGAACAAAATTAGTTAGCTAAGAAACAAAAATTGAAAATGCTAAAATTTAAAGACCTGAATGATCAGTTTGGATGGATTGGACAACTCTTTGTTGAGTAGTTTCAGGGCTGAACTCTCAAATATTCCTAAGAAGTGTAGATATTGCTATAGAACCAGTCTGATTATGCAGTAGGGCAGAACTTAGGAATGGTATTTCTTTCTGGAAAGCAAGCCAACTGATACCTTCATCCAGATACTGATTAGGACCTGTGTCAGCATCAGGTGCTCTCTGGGGGCTACAAGTTTCCTTAGCTCTTGCAGGTGCTGCTCGTTGAAGATTTCTCCTAACACACCAGTGTCATCTGGCACCTTTTTCATGTATTGATATTTAACCAGTAGTTGCTGCCTTTTCACATATTCCCTGCAGGACCACTGAGGGATTTCATTCCATGACTCTTTGAGGAACTTTAAACATGCATCATACATGAGGTAGTACTTATCCTAGCCTTGGAAATTTGACCTTCTATGACCAGGAGAAAGAACCCACATCTCTGTGCCCTCACAGTCATGAAATGTCTTTGCTTGCTTCACTTATGCGTACCTCATCCAAGACTGTTAGTGTAATCGACAAGATTGGATAAGAACTCTTTTCCACATAACTTTCTGAAAAGGCCCCACAAATCTTGACTATGGTTTTCCAAATTCTTTGATACTCCACTAGGTACACTTTCTCTTGTGTTCAAAACCCCAAGAAACATTTATCCTATATATTTAGTCCCATTTACATAAAAATGTTTCTTTCCTTATGTTCCCTCTACCTCGTCACACCTTACCTATATGATTGTGTTAATTGAGGCTCAGTCATAACACCTACAACAGCAAGAGACATTCTACCTTGTATCTTCACTTTGATATAAACTGGAGGCAAAAGAAATGTCATTCAGGGAGTGTCGCAATGAAGGGAAAGACTCTCGCGGACAGGAGCTGAGGCAGAGGTCGCTGGTACATAAGTGAAACCTAAAGATAAAAAAAAGCAAGTGCTTAGGACATATCCCATACACACACCTCCTCTTTTATAACCAGTAGAGTGAGGGTCGTTGCTGAAGTGATAGAATCAATAGTCCATTTTCCACAGATGGTTGATGATAGCAGAACAAGGCCCGGCTAAGTGCCTCAACCTTTTCTTGAGTGGCTCATTATTAGGAGCCACTGACCCACCATCACCAAGTCATGTGCTCTACACTCTTTCTCAAAAATGGCAATAAAATACGCTGAGCCATCCACATTTCCTCAGTTGTACTGAGAGGCAAGAGATACAGCAGTTAAGCAGTCTCTGGAGCCAGAGCAACCTGAGTTCAAACCATGACTTGGCTGCTTGTTGTGGGACCTAGGGACATAAGTTAAGTTACTTCAACATGTTTATCTATAAAACAAGTGTGACAGGCAGAAGTCCAAAATGGCCCCAAGATTTTCTGACCCCCTTGATGTATTTGCCCTGCGTAATTTCCAGGACAGTGATTATAATGTATTTTACTCTCATGATTAGGTTATGTTACATAGCACAGTTGACCTTAATATAAAGAGATTATCTGGGTGGGCCTGGCCCAAATACAAGAGTCCTTTAAAAGCAAAGTTCTCCCCAGCTGGTCAAAGAAGAGGAAGTCAGAGATTCAGAGGATAAGAAGGTTTCAATATGCTATTGCTGGCTCTGAGATGTAGAAGCTCACATGTAAAGACCAGAAAGAAGCCTCTAGGAGCAAAGAGTGACAGGCCCCAGCCAACAGCCAGCAAGGAAATAAGAACTTCAGTCCTACAACTACAAAGAACCAAATTCTGCCAAGAAAAATGAGCTTGGAAGCTGACTCTTCCCTGGAGACTCCAGATAAGAGCCCAATACCTTGATTTCAGTCTTGTGAGATCCTAAGCAGAGAACCCAATAAAGTTCACTCAGATTTCTGACCTACAAATCTGTGAGCTAATAAATGAGTGTTGTTATAAGCCATTAAGTTTATGGAAATCTCTTACACAACAATAGAAAACAAATACGAGGATAGACCAAATGCTCAATAAATGTTAGCTTTTATTATTACTAATTCATTGGGATCAGCCACAGTTGTGAAAAGGCTAAAGCATGAATTATTTGTGCAAGGTTGGCAATGCAACATGGCCTTAAGATCCAGGGTCCGTTTGGTCTAATATGGCTTATATTAACAGGGTCTCAAGGGGAGAGACATTATTGGCATTCGATGGGGGGAGGGGCTCATTGTGTAGGACTACCCTGTCTCTACTTATCATCTCTGGCTCTCCTCAGCATCAGTCATTGCCAAAACCAAAAATGCTCCTGTACATTTCCAAACATCCTCCCCTACAAGGAGTGGTTTTGGCTTGAGAACTTTGAGAACTGCTTTAAGGGAAATTTCATAAGAAAGCACAGTTGTCCTAAATGTTGCCATAAAGCTACCTGAATAACTACCATGCTACCCAAGTTGTATGACTCTAAGAATCATCAGGGGCACTTGTTTAAAAATAATGACTCCCAAGTTCTCTCTCTGGAATCACATTCAATATGCCTGGGGTGGAGCCCCAGGAATCTATACCCTTACTTAAGTGCCCCAGGTGAATCTTTTGTCCATGTAAGTCTGTAAAACACTAGGTTAGAAATATATCTGGCCATACATGCATTTAAGCAAAGGTTCACCACACTGCAACAATGACACACACCACATTTGAAACCGTACCTTTTATGGAGCTGTAAGTCTCGTTTTGGACTACCCTATTATACAAGATGTTCTCTTGGTCAGACAGTGATTGCAAATAGAACTCCAGAGTCCTGGAAGTAGGAATATTTTTCCAAAACTATCTTTACTAGAATTACTTCTTAAAGTGACATGCTCCACGGTGTAAAGTAGCACTTATTTTTTCTACATATTTCTCATATTTCATGTACACTTCTAATACATGTAGAATAAAAACGTCCGTGCCTCAAATTCTGTGGCTATTTGACTATCTGTCTCCCTTTTTCGGACAAGTCCCTGGTAGAGCTCTTGGCTCCTACCATTTTTCATTCCCTAACCCTATTCTCCATAGGTGCCCTGTGGGTTTCCTCCAATCCAGGTAAGGGCTGTCTTTCCAGAAAGTGGCAACGACTAGTCCTGCACGCCATATCCCAAGGGCGCAGGCACCAGAGCGTCGACTCACCGGTCAATGATGTTTTCTGTTGTTTCCAATACTCTGCCTGCCAATGTCCCCCGCCGCACGACCTCGCCACTAGCACACGGAGCCCAAAGGCTCCACGAGAGCAGATGGGCGTCTGCTCTCCCTGGCCCTCCCCCATTTCCCCAGCTACGCTGGTGCTTAGACATAGAGCGCTGCTCATTCTTGCACCCTACCGGATGGCGCGACTCTATTCCCCCATCTCCACACACTCTCGGCTTTAGCAAAATAATAATATGCACGCTGCCGGGGCGAGCCCAAGCACTTCCCTCCCCTAATAAGGCGGAACTAAAATGAAAAGTGCCACAGTTGTTATCAAGTGACTCCCCTGTTACCAAGGTAAAGCCGTTGCCGCCATCTTTATTGTGGTTGATGAGTACTTGCGTCAGCCTAAAGCAGAATAAGGAAGTCAGCGCGGCCCCGGCTGTAACTGGCTCACAGCGGAATTATTCTCAGGCTGTAGCTCCGCCCAGAAGTGGTGGTTAGTCTTCGCATGGACGAAACGCGCGCCGGCGACTGGAAGCAATGTCGCCAGCAGAGTGGCCCCGCGTCCGCCCCGCCCAGGCTCTTCCGGTTCACGTGCCCTACAAAAGCGCGGTCTGCTGTGGGCTTGTGCGCCATACGGAAGTGGGCTTTGGCGCACCGGAAGCCACCGAAAGAGAGGTATGGCGGGCTTGTCTGTGAGAGACCCTGCGGTGGATCGTTCTCTACGTTCTGTGTTCGGTGAGAGGAATTCGTTGGAGCCAAGCATCTGGGAGGGACCGAAAGAGGCAGGGAGTGGCGAGGAACGCCCCTCTGCACCTCCAACCTCATGAATCGCCACAGGAGCCGGCGATGCGTCGCGCGAGCAGCTCTTCCCTGCCTATCCTGTAGGATGGCCAACCTGGTGGACTCGTGGGCAAAGAGACACTCTCTTTCCCCAGAGGTCTTGTAGGCTTTCCGCAGTATCGTTGAGGATGTTAGACTAGCATCCAGCTTATATGGGTTTCTCCATAAACTTCAATTATCTAGAAGAGAAGGCGCATGGCAGCAGTCCCTCAGTGTCCCGTACTATTCTCACCCCCTATCCCACAATACAGATTATATATACTGAGGTATAGAGCCCTGTGTCCACTTCCCGCCCTCTGCTAAAGACTTTCATCTTTGGCTTTTTACCTGTAACATTTTAGTTCATTGATAGTGGTAGCGGCCATTTGGTGTCTTGAGATGGATTGTAAATAAATGAATGAATGAATAATTAACACCTTGTCGGAAGAATTTTAATTAAAGAGGAGCTAAACTATTCTTAGTAACCTTTTTCGCTGAAATAAGTTGTTTTTTTAAAGTACGTGTGGTTGTTTTAAAGCGCTTTTGAAAGGGATATGACAAAGCAGTTCTGGATAATTTTTACTTTCATGATCATTCTCCCTTTAAGTGTATATGTGGAAATACGGGCATATGAACCTGTTTTAAAAATTATAACATTGACATTTTTGGTAGTCATTGATAAGATTTGCAGACCTTCAGGTAAATAGCAATGCCTAAGTATTTATTTTCACCAAAGTTAAGGAAAATCTGATACTTCTCAGATCAGTCTGAGAACTAACGTTTAGGAGTATCTTTCCCTTTTATATTTAGTCTCAGTGGTATAGTTCCCTTGTTAAGTGGTCTAAAGAAATACATTGGAATTGGGAGAACACAATTTTGAGTCAGTTGTTATGTATTTAATATTTAATGATATAAATAGGTAGTAATACCATTTGCTTTCTCACTAAAAATCTGGGTTACAAACTCAGAATTTTAATGTTACCTGTTTTCTTCCTTAGTGGGGAACATTCCTTATGAAGCTACTGAAGAGCAGTTGAAGGACATTTTTTCTGAGGTTGGACCTGTTGTTAGTTTCAGGTGAGATCCCCTTTTACTTCTTGGTAGGAGCTTCTTAAAAATCACCACAAATTTGGCTCTTAGTAATAACGGCAGGCATTTTTTACTGGTGACTTTTCACATGCATTTATTTTTGTAACTGCTTTTTTGTTTGTTTTTTGAGACAAGTCTCGCTATATCACCCAGGCTGGTCTTGAACTCCTGGCCTCAAATGATCCTCCAGCCTCAGACTCCCAAGTAGCTGGGACTACAGGCCCATGCCACTGCACTCAGCTAATTTTTAAAAAATTTTTTAGGAATGGAGTCTTGCTGTGTTGCCCAGGCTGATCTTTAACTCCTGGCCTCAAGCAATCCTCCCACCTCTGTAACAGCTTTTTTGAAATATAATTCACATACCATCCAATTCACATTCATTCTTACATAAAAAGATATGGTTTTTTCATTAAAAGTATTTTTAAAAATATTTCAGTGAGGCCATCAGAGTTGTAAGGTTACTTATCTTACAGTGGGTCAAATTAGAGTATGGCAGTGTCAACAGGAACCCTGTATGTGTGTAACATTTGTGCCTAATACTTGGTTCTGCTCTCTAGATTGGTATATGACAGGGAGACAGGAAAGCCAAAGGGTTATGGCTTCTGTGAATACCAAGACCAAGAGACGGCCCTTAGTGCCATGCGGAACCTGAATGGGCGCGAATTCAGTGGGAGAGCACTTCGAGTGGACAATGCTGCCAGTGAAAAGAACAAAGAAGAGCTGAAGAGTGAGTGTAATCCCAAGTTGTATGCAATATGAATTACTAAACATGTAATGATGAAGATTTTCCATTTATGGTATGTTTTGAATATGCTGGAATTGGTATCCACACAGCTTCTTTACTTAATCAACCTGAGGTGCCTGAGTTAGGGAAGTATATATCTTTGAGAAACAGGTAAAGTTGACTTTAGAAGTTCTTCAGTTACCAAGGAGTTGATTTCTTGTTAAAAGATGAATTCAGGTTCAGCAAGCCATTAATAGCACTAGCTATGTCATTGTCACACCTCTGACTATGTTGCCAGATGTGTAACTGGTAGGAGTACTAAAGACATTTTTATAGCTTTTTTCATGAGGTTACAAATCCAGGAATTTTTTTAATTAGCATCTTTTTCTATTTAAACCTTTTGCTTCTGAAATGGCTTGTCGAAAGAAAATATGACTGTTCTCTAATTGTACCAGCCTTCCTCTGAGAACAGAAAATATACTCTCCCTTTCCTTCACAGAAACAAGAGACTTTTAATTCATTTATTTCTCAGCTCCAGAGAATTTAGTTATCAGCTGATTCTTGCAGCAGCTCTGGAAAGTAGACATTTGAAATGATTCAGCTTTTTATTTTGCCTCCCTAACTTTCTTGTACTTTCTTTCCGATTAGGCCTTGGCACTGGTGCCCCTGTCATTGAGTCACCTTATGGAGAGACCATCAGTCCTGAGGATGCCCCTGAGTCCATTAGCAAAGCAGTTGCCAGTCTTCCACCAGAGCAGATGTTTGAGCTGATGAAACAAATGAAGGTGGGAGGAGGCATTAGGTTATGAATAAAGCAAATTACATCAGGTTTTCAAGGAGTTAATTGGTAAAATTAATGGAATTAGTTCCCTGAGCTCAAATAGAAATTGTGTCTATAGACTACCATTTCTTGCACCTCGAATATTCTGTATGTGCACAATAAATTTTACATTTCATACAAAGAACTTTCTGTTTTTGTACATGAACACAACTACTCACATAATCCAACTGGGTTTTTGTGGCCCATAGATATCAGATGTAGATATTAAAATGGGGCTTTTTTTCCTAAATGATAGTATTACAATATTTGAAATGCCTCTTCCTTCTCTTGCCTTCCATGACCAAGATTTTTTGTGCCATGCAAAAACTGATGATAACTTAAAGATCCTCTTGAATATTACATTTCTCAGATGGGAATGGCTCTAAATCACTATCAATTTCTAGGTAATAAGTACTGAACCTGATGATGAATCTGCTTATCTTCTCAGCTTTGTGTCCAGAATAGCCCTCAGGAAGCACGGAACATGTTGCTTCAGAACCCTCAATTGGCTTATGCTTTGCTGCAAGCACAGGTAGTGATGAGAATTGTGGATCCAGAGATTGCCCTGGTGAGTGCTTCTTGTTCTTTTATAAGATGACAGGGCAAACCTTGAGTGGGATAGGAACTACCTGATTGCTTGGTTAAACAGACAGCTCATAGGTTTGTCTTTTTACTTTTTAGAAAATTCTGCATCGCCAGACAAATATCCCAACGCTGATTGCAGGCAACCCTCAGCCAGTCCATGGTGCTGGGCCTGGCTCAGGATCCAATGTGTCCATGAACCAGCAGAATCCTCAGGCCCCTCAGGCCCAGTCTTTGGTAGGGCTTTATCCCTTAACATTTCTTTTGTCTGTCTTAGAATGTCATTTTCTTTTTAGGAGAATATATTGAAAGAAGAATGGTCAGGAACCAGAGATGATAATTTCAGTTTCCAGGCATAAAAGCAATTTCCAGGTTGCAGAGCACATGGCATCTGAATAGATTCGATCCCAAGCTTGTAAAACAAAGAAATCCTTCCTGTATGCCCTATTCTTATAAGCTAACTTTGTGTGTATGTGCATGCCTGGCACTGTGGTTGGCACTTCGTAATTCCATATGCATTATTTCATTTAATCCTGACAGCAATTGTATGAGGTTGGCACTCTTATTATCTCCATTCTTACCAATGAAAAATTAAAGCTCACTTTCCAAACATGACACAAAACTCTGAAGCCATAAAAAATTGATACATCCGAAAACTAAAAAATTTCTGTGTAAAGAAAAAGAAACATCAAAAACAAATGACAAATTGGGAAAAAGTATTTGCCACACACATGATGGACCACAGACTTATTAATAAAGAGCCCTTAGTCCTGTTGAAGAATGTTTGTTGCCACATTATGATAGCGAAAAATTGGCAATGTCCTAAATGTATATCAGTGGAAGAATGGAGAAAATGTGGTGTATTTATCCAACAGAATACTTGACAACAGTTAAATAAATGACACATATCAGTATGAATGACTTTCAAAAACATAATTCCATACAGCAGTTAAGATGAACTAGGACACATGGTATCAACACAAATAACTCAAAAACATAATACCATACAAAAGTGAAACTAAGTGAATGTGGAAGCATTCCCTAAATGTTGGATATATGTGTCTGCATAAATCTCAAAAATATGTTGAGTGAGTTGCAGAAGAATACATTGAATGTGTAATGATCCATAGAAAATGTTTAAAAATCTGTAAGAATTTTTAGTGGTTGTCTAAGGAGAATGGGGTACAAGATGTGATTGGGGAAGACCATACAGGAGATTTAATTTATTTCCTAAGCCGGGTGGCTATTTTATTTTCTATATGACTTGTATATCAGCAGCTTTTCGTGCTAAAGAAAAAAAGGCCTCCTATAAATAAGTAAGAAAATTTCCAATAACCCAGTAGAAAAATGGGCAATAGACATGAACAGTTCACAAAAGTGGAAATATAAAGTAAATATGAAAAAGTATTCCACCTCAAAATGAGACAATATAATAAATTATCTGTCACTAATAAATAAAACAAGATAATGTAAATAGAAACTACAATAAGCTATCACTTGTCACCTATCAGATTGGCCAAAGTAAACAATTTGGATGGATTGTATGAAGGTACAGGGCAGAAGCTGCCAAACGTTTTCTGTAATTGGCCAGATAGTAGATATTTTTGGCTTCGCAGGCCATAGGATCTCTGTCACAACTACTCTGCCATAGTAGTATGAAATCAGCCATAGATAATACACAAACAAGTGTGTGTGGTTGTGTTCTAATAAAACTTTATTTATACCAGACAGCCAGATTTGGCCCATGGGCCATAGTTTGTCAACCCCTGCTCTAAATAAATAAATACTTTTTGAGAGAGAGAGAGGAAATAAACTAAGGCCCAGAGAAGTTACCTGGTCCAGAAATTACACAATTTTAAGTGGCAAGTCTAGTTCTTAACCTCGTTCTGTCTGAACTCAGCCTGTTTTCTCTTAAGACCA